AATTTACCATCACCAGGAAACACGACCCGGAGATACTTGAATTTCTCCACCTGCTTTTCCGTGAATCTGAAGAGAGCAACGGGCAGGAGAACGAGAAAGCACTGGGCTTTTCGTTTTAGATGCGTCCACACGCATGTCGGCCAAGTCGTACTCAGCTGCAAACCTTTCCAGAGAGCATTGTAGATCAGTTTCCGAAGATGTCAATAAAACAAGGTTGTCAGGAAACAGCAGTCTTCTCTTCTCCACATCTCCTACACCGATACACTCATCGCCTTGGCTGCTTCTGACTGTTCTCTCCATGAACGACACAAAGAGGAGAGGCGACAGGACGCAGCGTTGGCGAACACCGGTACCAAAACGCTTAGACTTAACGCCTCTGACCCAGCACCTTCTCTCAGAACAGTGATTGATAGACCCGTAACAATTGGCCATCGATCCCATATGTTCCCAGCCATGCCCATCGATTTTTACAAGGTATTCACTATAGACTTTTTCAACGAAGCACGTGAACACCAGATTTGCGAACTCCCACGATTTATGAACTATCTGGAATAGAGCAAATATATGGTCAGAGGTGCTTCGACCAAGCCGGAAGCCATACTCCTCTTCTTGTATCTCGGAATCAGTTATTCTGCGGCACCTCCTTTCTAGCTCCTTTGTGTAGACTTTACCCGAGGGGCTCATTAAAGTAATATCCCGATAATTGGAGCACTCCCTATGGTTTCCTTTCATGAACAAGGCTGCAACAGCCGCGCTCTTCAGTCCGCTGGTGACTTCCCCGTGACATTGCAGTTTCACTGACACGTGTAAGTCAGCACACGCCTTGCTCGCCCAATGCTTTGAGCATTTCGGTGGATTTCATAAATTCCAATAGCATTTTCACTTTTTAAGTTTTCCGCAGGTTGTTTATTATATCCACGAGTCATTGAGTCTTCCTGCGGTTGCTCGGGGTTATGGAGTTCCTCAGAGTACTCTCGCATCGCTGGAGTATAATTTCGTCTTTTTGGTTATTAGACGTCAGGTCGTGTACTTCTGGATTCTCAGAGCCCTGCACTATCTTTCTCGCAAACGGCGAATCGCTTGCCACAATATTTTTCTCCCGTCTGGAAATTCAATTCCAGCACATCACAAAACTTTTTCTATGAATCAGTTTCCTCTACTACTCTGTGCGGTTTTACTTAACACATGCGAGTTCAGTACTGTTTGTTTTCATTCTATTTCTTGAATGCCGCTTTCTCTTTAACTGCCTGTTGTACCTCGTGTCCACCAGGAAGATTTTTTATAACCTCCAGGCGGTTGGCCAACCCGTTAATATCCGCAGCATTCGGCGGCAGCCTCGAGTATGCCGCTCTTAAAGAGCTCCCACTTGGTTACCACATCAGCGGTCATCACCGTAATCTGTTCAAACCATCGTGCGATGTTGTTTGTAAGTTTCGCTCTTGTATCCACCGAGGATTATTTTTCCCGTTTGATTCTCTGGTTGCGTCTGCAACCAGACAATGGCATGATACTCCGTCTCTTACAGCATAATTTGCCAACAACAAGGTGATGATCGGTTGATAGGTCTGCGCCTCATTTAAAGCGAACATCCGTTACTGGGCATCCTAAGTCAGACGATACGATCATCAAATCGATCATCGACTTCTGTGTACAAGTTTCCTGTACCAGGTATTCTGATGCAAGGTTCGATTAGCGTAGGTGTTCATAACTGAGAGTCCGTTATTATCGCAAACTCGCTACAACTTCATGTCGCTATTGTTGAGATCAGTAGATCCGTTCGTTCCAATTTACACTTTTCATTATGTGCTCCGACATGGGCATTAAAACCGCCCATTAGAATGAAAGACTCCGTAGTA